ATGTACGCCTGCAAGATGACTGTTAAAAATCTCTTGATCTGGAAAGCATCTGCCGTGTATAAACATCTGACAGGCGTCTTTAAGATGTCAGTTTTACATGCATTTTAAATCATAAACATCTTAAAGACATCTAATAGACGTCTATTGGACATCTAAAAGGAAACGTGCTAGATGCATTGCAGATGAGCAAACTCTCTAAAAAATAAGTCTTGCAGATGTAATGCAGACGTCACATAGACGTCTTCGAGATGTATGTGTGCTGTCAGAAATAAAGTAGGGCGAAAACTAAAATAAAGTGAAAAAAAGTCTAAATAAATACGTTTTCACAACCAGGCGTGGTGTAGGACATTTCTCGCTTTTTATCATTTTCCTTGGATTTTGATTTCAAGCGTTGGTGTTAAAATCGCATCAAGTTCAGGAATCAGATATATCAAATATGTGCAGCAACGTTTTCCTCAATGTTCTACTTCGTTTGGTTTATTAAATTATGTTTCACTGCACTCTTTAACTCCAGGAAGGAACTAATAACCTGAGTGCTAAAAGGCAACATCTCACATTTTTATACATATAAAACTTTTCAGTACACATTTTTGTTTTAATATCATTTTCAGTGTTGCCATAAATTTCAGTTTCGTTTTTATTAGTTGTTCTACATTCGGTTTCGTTTTAGTTTTTATTCTGTGAACACGTTTCTTTTTAGTTTTTATATATTTTAGTTTCAGTTTCAATGTGAGTAATTAACCTTTATTAGAAGTAACAGAACACAGCTGGCCAAAGCAAGACGTTTTAATTTAAGCCGACAGGGCAGTTTATCATTGTGCATGTGATGTATGGTAGTGATGTTAATATGTGTGTTAATATCATATCTTCATACTGGCATTTAATGCCATGGGTGAATAATTTCATAGAAAGAGTTAGGCTTTTATTTGTGCACATAATATTGGGGAAATGAAGCCTCATGAAGCACTGATACCTCTAACTGTTCCGTGAAAAGATTTAAAGCTTTAAGAGTGTCGAAAACAGTGCCATCTTGTAGTTGGCAAAAAAATAAAGCAGCCAAAACCTGTGAGAGATGCTCCGTCGGACGAAGCACGCAAGTGTCAATCTTTTTAAATTGAGATTTATGTATCAGCTGAAAGCTGAATAAATAAGCTTTCCATTGGTGTATGGTTTGTTAGGATAGAACAATATTCGGCTGAGATACAACTATTAGAAAATCTGGAATCTGAGGGTGCAAAAAAATCTAAATATTGAGAAAATCATCTTTAAAGTTGTCCAAATGAAGTTCTTAGCAATGCATATTACTAATCAAACATTAAGTTTTGATATATTTACGGTAGGACACTTACTAAATATCTTCATGGAACATGATCTTTACTTAATATCCTAATGATTTTTGGCATAAAAGAGAAATGTATAATTGTGTCCCATACAATGTATTGTTGGCTATTGCTACAAATATCCCCCAGCGACTTAACACTGCTTTTGTGCTGCAGGGACACATATAGCTTCAATGTTATGTGTACTGTACAAACAAAAGCCTAATATTGTGTGTGTATGTGTGTGTTGAATTTCTCCTCTGAATTTATTTACCCATTAAACTGTGGCATTAAATGCCAGTACGAATATCAAGATAATGTAATAGAAGAATAATGTACACATATTTGAATTGCATATGGCAAGCATTTTATCTTTCAGAAATCATTTGAATTCTTCATATCACTTGTATGACTGGCTATTTAAATATGTAATTAAATAAGTCTGAATGAAAACTTACTCATAAATTAAGATCTGGGGGTGCGAACCGACACACAAAGCGACTACCGCACGTGATTGGACAGAAAGTGAGGCTTTGCTGTGAAACCAACACACATCTCTATTCAGGGCTTTGCTGGAGATGTAATAATGTAATAATACCGGTCTAATTGACTTTTTTTTCTTATCTCTTCATAGCCCTGGAAACATATTTTATCTGGGGGGTGCTGGGGGGCGGGGCTTGATGTTGAAGGGTAGGGCCGCGGTGGGGGATTTAAAAAAAAATACAAATAATATACAAATGAATGAAGACAGAGTTATATGAGAACAAATAGGCTATATATTTGTGCTTTTGTGATTTTAGTTCAATAATATTTTTACTTTAAGTGGACTTTACTAAATATTAACCTCTAAATTAGGCACCATTTATCATCTGCAATATCAGCGTATAACCACTATATGGCTGTATAGC